CAGACAAGTGTTTTTCAGGCTTCTCTGCATTTGCAATGGGAATTTTCATTTTGATAGGCGATGTAACAGAAGAACTGCTGGCTGTCTGTGGCTGCATGTGTTTTTTATGCTGCTGTTCACCTGGGGTTGCTACGTAGTGTTCCCTCACATCCAGTTCAAGGGTTTCTAGTTTGCGCTTCTCTCTGTATTTATCCAAAGACATTTTCTGAGGAATTATTACAGGAGCAGCAACTTGTCCATGGTGTTTGTTTCCTGATTTATGAGAATATTCTGATTTGACAGTAGAATGCTCAGCAAGTTTGTCAGGTCTGTGATGTACTCCAGAGTGCAACTGTACGGAGGTTCCTGGTTGGAAGTTCATATTGTACTGACTAGCAGATAACGTCTCCTGTTTTTGAGAGTATATTTGTTCTGTCCTCGTTTGCTCTTGATGCTGAGGCCATTCCTGCTGTGATGCCAAACTGTATGAGGTACTTGGCATTCCTGTAGCTAATATTGCCAAATTTTCAGGTGCATGACTGTCTGGAACAGAAATACTTCCTGAGGTCAGAGGTACTGGTGCAGGAAACGATGTTGATGGTTTTTGGAAACTTGTGTTTGCAGCTACACCAGTAACTGTATCCACCAAAATGGAATTCTGGACCAAAGATGAACCAAGAAGTGAGTTCTCGGACACCTGTCCATCACCTTTAGGTTTCCTAGCAGCCTGATTAGCCTAAGCAAAAAGGAAAAGAAGTGAGAAAATACACAGTTTAGAATACTTGTGCACTCCATGCTAATTTAGCTCAAAGGTTGAGGATAGAAGCTGACTCCAAGGTTTTACCTCCTTCCCAACCCACCCACAGGAATAATCAGCAATTAAGACATAACTAAACTTTTTCCCTTGGTTCATAATTTTAGAAGTTCAGCTCATTTTGCTGGACACTGTTACAGGAAAATTTCTTACCCGCCAGTTTCTAATTCTTTTGAGCCTGCTAGGCGTTTTCTCCAGTATCTGCAGAAACTCATGAGTTAGCTCTGGGTAGAGAAAAAAAAAAAAAAAAAAAAGGAAAAAGCCATTTTTACATCTGGTTCTTTAATAAGTAGGTTAAACTTTTAAGCATTTTTCTAGACTAACAGCACTCAGCTTTTGCACTAGGTTACTACAGGCTGCACATGATTTGAATTGGTATTTAATTAAAAAAATGTTAGACAAATGTTGAACAAAAACAGGCTACAGTATTTCACTACGACAGACTTCTGACCATTACACACATTCTGGAAAACAGGTTTGAATTTAAGATTGTTTTTTAAACTCTTGCAGAATCTGGATTCATTAGACCAAAAATTTCAAGAAGGATCTGTACAAATAGCAGCTCCTCAAATAACATACTTGCCATTCACATTGGGCATTTCCTGTATGAAGTTCAGTTTTCTTTAAAGTATAAATTTCTAAGTCAGTGTTTTCAGTCATTCCACTGAACTTCAGGAACAACTAGTACGAACTCTGGACAAAATATAAGCTATCAGACCCTCTGAAGCACCATTTTAGACAACAGCTTTTGATTAACTTTTGTTCAAGGCAAAGTAGTTGGCTGTGTTAAAAAAAAGAAGATCCTTGCAATTAGTATGTCTACAAGGAAACATAGGTCTCCATGCTTGTCAGCTGCAAATAAAAATACTTTCCACTGAAATTTAATTTTACTCAAGCTAAAAATAATTAGGTACAGTCAGAACTTGAATGCAAAAGTAGATCTCTTGCAGGTCTGGAAGAACTGGCTTCTCCAGAACAACACAAGCTAGTCATAAACTAAGCTGCTCCCAAGCACAAGAGTGCCTCAGCCCTTTGGTCTGCCCAAGCTGTTACACACACCAACTCCATAAACACTGGAAGAATTAAGCCGTGTTCACTGTGAGCTCACAGCACACATCTTGTGGGATTTCAAAAACCCAAACAATGCACGCTTACCAAACACACAAAAGGAGGAGAAGGCAGGCAGGTTGGTATTTAAAACTACAGACGGAACTTAAAGAAGCCTACTAACACAGAGACATTTGAACTTGCAGTTTCAAGCTCACTCTGGTTCTGTGCTTCACATGACATCTACTCGAGTCTTCACTTTCAAAAAAAAAGTTATTGAGAAATAAGAGCTCAGCAGAAGAAAAAAAATAACAGGCCATGGGGAGCTGTGCTGGGCCATACCAAGCCTGGAGGCCTCTGCTGCTGCTCTGGAACAGATGTTTCGCTCTAGAACAAACAGCAAAGTCCAATACACAGCTCTGACTGCCCCAGAAGCTAACACCTTCACTGCAGTAGCATATGTAAGCCTTAAAATTTAGACTCCGCTGTAGTAAATACTATTTCAAAAGATCATAAACCTTCTACGTACATGGTCTTCTATGTATATGCTTTCTTCTGGAAAGAAACTATTTAACAAGAAAACAACGTTTTACAGGAATTTGAGGTATAAGCAACTATACCAAGTTTTTGACATAGAACTACCTTCATAAATATGGCAGTTTTATATACAGCCTTAAGAATGTTTGTTTCAGTGACACTGAAGCCATAAACTTGGACCAGTGATGTACGTGAAGTGATCAGGACTGACTGCATGGACTTGCACTGCTAGATCTCCATCTCTTTCCCAGTTCTGGAAAGCACTTAAAAGCAAGATTCTAACCTGCAAAAGGTATGTGGATGCCCCAGCCCACAGCATGAATTAAAAGGGTCTCAAAACTAAGTTGGTCTTCCAAAGTTCTCCTCTCTCCTACACATGTCTCTCACCTGAGGAGCCAGTACATGAAGTCAGTGAGACTTATTTTAGGCTTAAAGCTATGCTCTTACTATAGTATGCTCCTATTTGTACATTAATAAGCCCTTGAATTTCAAGATGGGAAAAGGCAGCATTACTTACCATCTAGTAATTCTAGAGTAACTGAAGGATCTACGTATTCCCACCAGTGTTTTCCATCAGTTGATACTGGAATCTCCCAGTTGGACCACTTGCAGGCCAAGTGAATGCACACACATGCTATCACTGTAGGCTTGTACTGAAGACAGAATGTAGTAAGGTGAAGGCTGTTGCACAAATTTCGTAATGAGGAACCAAAGGAAATCAAACATGTAAAACAGAAAACCCAAACAAATCAACCATTAACATACATAATAAAATAACTTGCTAAGCAACAGCAGTTAAACATCAATTCATGGAACATTTTTCTGATTATAAGTATCTTACTGCCTTAAGAAAACAAAGGACAGGGCATTTATCTGGTAGAAAAGTTTAGTTTGCTCTTGCTATAAAAAGTGAGATGAACAGTTAATAGATTTACATTTTATTCTACTGCACTTAAATTCTAGAAAGTAGTGTAATATGGTCAATTAGAATTTTACAGTAAAAGCCCTACAGCTGATGATGCAGCCTCCAAGCGAGACAATTAGATGAAGATACCCAACAGTTCCACAGGAGCCAGGTGAGTTACTTGTGGGCTTAAGCTTTCACTAGGCCTGGATTTGAGATATCTGTGAACTCGCCTTCAGCTTCCAGCTGGCAGCAGCACAGAGACATTGGTTCAGTTTCACTGCTTTATCACACCACTTAACAGCTGTTTCAAATACAGAACCTTGCCCATCAAGGAACCACCAAGAAATATTTATTTGGAAGAGTTCTAATAACCAGCAGATATTTCTCAAAAACTGTCTACATGAAATGTAATCCTCTTAAATAAAGCTCAAAGTTGTTTTTTTAAGTAGTTAATAGAAATAATTGAGAAATCAAGACTAAAGTTTGCTCTCAAATTCCATCTTTCTACAACAGGCTATGTGCACGCAATCCCCAGCTGGAATCCTAGGACTTTAAATTTATGTAAGTACTTAAGTTTTAAAACTATATATTAAGATTAAAGAGCTGCTTCTAAAAGGAAGAACATTGGACTACTACTAGTCTATCTGAAAAGAAAAATCAGCTAGTTGAAAATATCTTAGGCCCACTACAATTTTAAGATTGGATCAATATATTTAAAGTTAAGAGAAAACTGCCATTAACTACAAGTGTAAACTAAAAATAGTTTTGTACTTACCAAGATGCTCGAATTTCTAGGTTAAGTTTAGCTCTTTGTAATCTTTAGCTGCTATTCAGGCTACCAATTTTAGACTTATGCACTCACAATCGAGAAAATGTCATCAGAAAGCACCACTACACTTCTCATTGTGCATTTAACCCCTTTGTGCCATCAGGCCCTTGTACAATACACCGCACTGCAAACAGGAAGGTACCACCACTGTAGATGGCCCAGTCTCCTGTTGCAACAAGGGTAAGACACATGTAGGGGGCCCTGCAGTAAAGGAAGCTATAGTGTGCTACAACAGTGCAACAAAGAGGTTCAGGATAACAACCTGTTGGTAGCCATGAAATAGGATGTCTGTGCCAAATCCTTGCTTGCTGTAAGAAAAGAAAAACAGAGAGATTAAAGATCTGTGTTAACTTGTCAGGTTCATTTCAAAATTAAAGCAGATTTACCTTCCAAAAGCACCGCTTGGTATTTCCACAGAACTGATCTGAATTTAGCTAACTAACCTTTAAAATAATATTTTCTGAGATACAGAAGAGGCCTTTACATTCCATAACTGGACATGGACCAGTCATTCCAGTCACTGACCCTCCCCCTGTGCCACCCTCAGGACAGTTCCCCATGGCTTATCTACCCCGCCAAGGCCTCGCACACAAGTGCACGCTCTCCTAGGAATACCTGCTGCCCACCCTCATGTACAGACCATCCCTAGCATAACCTTGGCCTGCAGTAAGGCAGCCACTAAAAACCAGTTCATAGCACAGTGCAAGTTCTGCTCTTGGAGAAGAGCATGGCAGAGAGCTGGAGAACACCCCTCCCATCCCCAGCACCTCCCAAAACCAGCCACACCTCTCTCCCAAAGCTCTACAACACACTAAGCTCCCAAGCTAGATGGTAAAGAAATGAGTTTTCAGCTCCCTCTAAGAGCACCATATTCATAACATTTTGTTCCACATTTGTTAAAACTATGGCAAAGCTTTGATAAGAAATAAAACAACTTCATTTTGGTTACAGTCAGGAACAAACCGCACAAGACTGCAACGTGTCAGAAATGAAAAGCTAACGACTGAGGCTGTAACAGCCACCCAGCACTGACCCCTACCAGTGAAACCCCAACGCTCCTCACTCAAGTAAGAGAACTTACTGTAGCATGCATATAATGGAATAGCTGGGCACAATGGGTTTAACTGAAGATTGAATGAAGCCTTCATTGAATTCTTACTTTGACACTATCACTTGAAATCAGTGCTACCTGCAGAAAGCGCATTGTTGAGTTTTATGTCAAAGGGAATACTGTTAAACTTATTTTAATAATAATCTTTCACAAAGTTTGAGAGAGACTGCAATAGCTTTAAAAATTTAACTTAAGAAAGCATACTAAAAATGTGATTTAACTCGACTTGTAATGATTGCAGAGGAGTACAATTTGTAGGAGTAGGAGTACAGTTTGTAGGTTGTTGAGGAGATCTGTCTTTAGGCTACACAGCCAGGCAGTGCCATAATCTGAGAAGAATGTGAAAGCAGCAAGGTAACAGGATCCATTTCTACACACAAATTCTACTAATCCATATTAATCAAAAGATGAACTAACAATGTGACAGTATTATACTATTTAGTTTGCAAACTATAATGGCAATTGCATGCCAGATAACCATGGAGTTCAATCTTTTCCTCTCCCTCCCATCAAAAAAAAAAAAAAAGGCAGTATTACCAAAAAAGAAAAAGTGAAATGAGACTATCATAACAAAATAAATGAAAATACAGAATGGTTGAATAAGACTGAAATTGATGCTCTTCATTTTTCAAAGTAATGTTTAAAGGATCTTCAATGATTTCTATGTTCTGTAAAGTTACAACATGTCTGAATGAAGGGACCAGACCAAAAAGCATCTCTACTCTCACTGAAATGTCCCTTTTGAACAAGGAAGAAAAGCAGATGCCAGAAAACTTCTATTTAACATCAGCTTGAAAGTTGAGTAAATCAAAACACATACCTGGAAGAAAAGAATCACATCTTGAAACACACATTGTAGCCTCAATCAAAAATTTATGTGTTAAATACCTATGCTATAAGCAGTATGATACTGTTTCAACTTATTTACAGCTAAATAATCATCATTGCCAAAATCAGCAAGAAACTTCAGCTCACAACTAAAACCTATGGTAACACAAGGCACAACTGAAAACATCCGTCCCAAACTCTTCTCTTACATTTAGGAACACTTTGGTTTAATAGAATCCATCAGTAAAATAAAAGCTAATGAATTTTGGTTCCTGTATTTTGGTGTTATTTCCTTCATAGTAGTGGAAAGTGCATCTCCAAATTAAAAACAAGCTTGAAGCAGAGGCTAAAACAAGCCAGCAGAGATTCCCTGTTATAACTCAGAAGTCGCAGGACTGAGGACTGATGCCAGCCATTAATAATCAGTTTTATATTTTATCAGAGTGATTTAAAACACTAACCCTGTCTCCCTGCTGCAGAAGCAACCATAAGACAGGGGATTACTGAAGTAGTAATCAAGATTTTGAAAGAGGACCAATCCACATTCCAAAAGGCTACTCTCCAACAAATTTCCAACTGGAAACCAAAATGCTTTTCAGTTGCATAGCCACACAATTCAACCAGTTGCAATTCTAAGATGTTTGAGTCTTTTCTTCAACACTAGGTTATCGGGGATCTTGGGATAATCATGAAAACGTGATTGCCAAGTCACCCCAAGGAGGGTGGTAGCTGGCTATGCCTAGGACCCCGACAACATATGTAAGCATTCTCCAGAAAGAGGAGACTGCAGATAAGCCAGTCAACACCAGAAGAGAGAAAGCTTCCTGAAGTCATCCTGGGCAAAAGGAAAAAAGCCCCAGGCTCTGAATGGAGGTACATCAGTGGATGCCTGTTGTATCTGGAAGGGCTGGAGGAGGCCATGGTGTAGGCATTCAGGTCTGAGCAGTCCTGGTGGCTTTACTTTCTTGAAAGTACTTAAACACTGGGAACAGGCCTGTAACAGCCTGAGGTGAAAGTTCAGAATGTGAAGGCCACCTGTAGCAGTGCTGGAGTGCAGCTGGTGTTCAAGATCTTTCCACACCAACTTAGTACACTAAGATTTAAATTTTCCTCATGAGCATATAATCTGAAAAAGCCGATTCATTTTCATCTCCTCTTATGCTGACTTATGCTCAGGTCCTTACTAGCCTGATTTAACCAGTGGCACCTGTGCACACAGATACTATGGTATGTTTGATGAATTCAACAGTGCAATTTCCACAAAAGATTAGTATAGATCATGGGTGTTCAAGATACCTGATAACCTGCAGAGTAGTGAGAACAGTCCTAGAAATCCTTGGAATCCAATCTTCAGTTCCAAAAGAAGGCTGTGTACCAACACAGAAAAAGGAATGACTGAAGACTTCCCAAGATGGAGATGAGGGTACAGATTCGGCCCCTTCAAGTTCCACCAGAAGCAGGCTGGGAACAGACTGATTTTGCACCAGAGTTTAAGAGGATCATGTCATGGTCTTGGCACTAGGGCAGTTTCACTGCTGAACTACTGTTCAAGCCAGTAAGGTAGTTTGACACCAGAACAGTTTTTGGTGGGTTTTTTTGGATATATTTTTTTCTTTTTTCTGTTCTTCCCTCTTCAGTACTGGAGCATCCTTGGAATGGGCACTGAGGCTTGCTGACAGACTTTCAGAGATCCACTGCCTTCAGATTCCTTAGAGGACCTGTGGAATCCTAAGGAATGATGGTCCTCTCTCCTCTTCTCAGTCTCTTGACACTGAGGAAGAACGGTGCAGAAAAAAGACTGAGCCCACACCATTTTCCTTGTCTACTATACTGACCAAGCTGTAAAGATGGAACAATTTCATCAACCCATGAGTCTCTGAAAACCAGAAGGAATAATTAGATACTTTATGCCTGAACATCATGAGTTATTACGTATCCATCCAGTCACCCCTTATCTACAGAGATTTGTGTTGTCTAATACTACCTTCAGAAAGGCTTTCAATCTTAGAGAAGAAGAATTCAACTTTTTCTTTAGTTGTATGTTGAAGCAATTATGTTTATTTGTACTAATTCCTACTTACTAGTTCATCTTCTGTTTCGCCACTACAAGACTAGACAGTCTTCTGACAAAGGACTTGGCTGAATCTTTTGAGAATCATCAACAGAACCTGGTTTGGTTTTTTTTTTCTATTTTCCATTTTGTTTTTAAAGGGGACAGCTTACAGATTAATACAGGTAACAGTGACAGCATAAAGCACATCACCCTTGATGCAAGACAACAAAAAGTGATATAGAGAATCAGCCATCCTCTTATCCACCTAAGTTTAGCCCGCAAAAGGGCATCTTCTTACCACAGGGCAATTAAGTGTACATGTACTAAGCCAAAACCTTAAGTACACCTGCAAGCCTCAGCTACCTTTGTTGCCTGTCTTTTGATATTATGTAGTCAGCCACATTATATTCCTCCCTCCTATTCCCAGACATACAGTTGGAGGTTTTAATCATAGCAGTCTTGAATAAGTTAATCACATTTAATAAAAATGTATCTCTGTCTTCTGAAATAGTGCTTTTTGTCCAAGACAACATGTTACCAGAACTGGATGAAGCAACCTTGCATTTCTTTAACTTCTCAGTCAATCCCTTTAGCACTAAAGGCTTAGCACTGACAAGTCATATATTTTGAAAGCTGCAGGACTTGATATCTAAGTGTTGCACCTAGTCACATTAAAACAACACACTGTCCAATAAATAAATGTTAAGGGATGGAGAACTAAAATCATACCACCGCATCTTTGAAGATATATTGCTGTGCCCACAAGCCCATCTCTTTATTCACTCAATACAAGAATAGTGTTCCACAGCACTTATTCTCTACTTGTTTGACACACATGCATGACTACAGATTTCATGCTCAATGTTTTTAATTTATGGATTAATTTGTCAGGTTTTTTTCTTAATATGAGGTACTTGAGTTTTATGTTCACAGCCTATACCACCCCTAGGAGGGGCACAGGCCAACAAGAAATCCATTTGAATACACACATGCTAAGGAGCACATCTACTCCAGTGAGTAGGTTTTCAAGCATCAGATGTATTACATTCACTTTGCACCAGTCCCCAAGGAACATGGATCTTGAGCCCTCCCAGGAGTCTTCAGATTTCAAGACTTGGTATGATTTTAGAATGTGCTGACATTAAACATTACCTTTAAAATGTCATTTAAAAATTTGCATGTACCTTCAGTGTGTGAATTCTGTCAGTACACAAAAGTAGCACACATAACACAAAGGAAAAAGCTGAACTGTCTTAGTGTGATATCTACCCTGGACTAAACGAAATTAAGTCTGTGTTAAGTATGCCCTTCTTGTGGGCTCAAGTCAAATATGCTCACTAGTGTGGAAATCATAATGTAGCTACAACACTGCCTGCCACCCTCCCCACAGCCTCAGATACCGGGTGGAAGTGCAGGGGCTCACACAAAAGGGAAATACATGCTCACATGTATATTGAGCAACAGCTACGAAAATCCAAAGCAAAACCCCACAGAGCTGCTGATGCAGACTATTGAGACTTTAGGTGTAATTAGACTTATGCATTGAGTCACAACCAAGCCTGGACAGAAAGCAAAGAATCATTATCTCATAGCAATAAAGCTTCTTTATATGAAAATAAGTTACAGCACCAGTCCTACTCAGGATCCACCTCTGAAGACATTACACCAGTAAGCTACTTAAAAGTGAGAGATAATTTTCCTTCAAAGAAAACAGATCTAGTTAATATGGTAAAGTTGTATCAAACTTTCTTATGTTTTATAGAGAAAAACCAAAAAAAACACCTTTGAAGAACCTAACTTTGCATTTTTCACTGTAAAAACAGCTAATGACTAGAGACTGACAACCATGGTCCAATAATTTCCAAATACTTTTTAATGAAGGAACACAATTACAGTGAAAAGCTTATTATAGGTGCTTTTACAGATTCCTAGTTTTTTCATCCTCCATCGATGAGAGAATTTTTTTGTCTCAAAGCTCCAAAGGAAACCAATTTAAGAATTAAAGAAGGTGTGCCAAAATTCAACAAAAACATTAAAGAACAAAGCACGTTTCTATCCAGTCATATTAATGAGCTGCATACAAGTTAGAGGATATGATTGTTTAACAAAAGGTTTGGGGTTTTGTGCTACCATCCAAAACAAGTACACCCTGCTCCAGAAAAACAATTAGTCACATCTTGAAATATTTGCTTGTGATAGCAGACCTACTATGCACCCTCTTTATTCCTCAGTTCATTACCTAAAAAGATTTGCTAAGACGGAAAGCTAGCATTAGCCAACCAACACACAGACCAAACTTCACTTGGTAAAACTACTTCAGAGTGAAAACAATCAATCAACCTAGAATACCGAGTAGTTGGGCTATTCAGTTTTCACTACTAATTGCTTCTGTCATTTGAGAAAACATGGAACAGGCATTATTAAAATGAGAGCTAATAAGAAAACAAAAAAATATGAAGGACAGAGAATCGGGCTCTATCAAACTCTAAAGGTTAAGATCAAGCTTTTAGTAATTAGCTTTAAACAAACTGGATAACACAGTTGGTGAAGATCATATTAGACAAATAACATCATCTTCAAATTTTAGTAGAAAGGTAAAAAAGGACTTACAGAAGCAGTTAAAAGTCACTGACCTCTCACTAATTGCGTACATTTCACAACATCTGTGTGTGGATGTTCAATGGTAATCTCAAAACCTGAAGAGTTACGAATACATTTTAGAATTATACATTTGCATCTGTAAAATAAAAAAAAAACACAACAAACCCCTTTTGTTTCCCCACAGACCTAAAATGCTTGTTAACCCTTGCACTGCAGATCAAGTAACACTATTTAACTGCCTTGTATTCTGTACCTTTTCATACTTTTGAGTGGTAGGTGGTATAGCCACTTCAAGATCAGTTAGTAAACCAGTCCTTCAGTAATCTCAAGTCCTGTATATACGTATAACCTCAAAGGTTATTATATTTTTAAAGCTGAACACATCTGAACAGTTTTTAGTATATTAATAAACCAGGAAAAGCTGTATTACAGACACACGGAAATACATGTGTGCATGCACACTTTATTAATTTATTTCTGGAACTTAAACACATTGCATCTATGAAGTAACAAATTTGTAGGTCAGTGACTAAAGAAACCTTTGTTTATGATGCTATTTTAAGAATTAGGTAACTTTTTTTTTTTAAACAATATACTCAAAGTGGTATTTAAGAATATCTAAGTCAGTGTTCTCAGGCCTGCTCACTGTAACTGTCTCTATTATATTACTTTAAAGTCAGAAGAGTTTCTTATCAGAACATTCCACTTCAAATTTTGGGATTACTTGAATCCATTAAATGGTTACACTACAACTTGTGATGTTCAGAGGTAGTAACCCTGCTCAATTACATGTTCTTCTATTGAATGGCAAAATGGGGATGAGCACTTGGTATAAAGCTCTTTCCAGTTGCTTCAGAACACGTAGACAGCTAACCTAGTATAACATCCTACCTCCTATGAAGAAATAGCAATGCTGTTACTATCTATTTGGAAGCATACACATTTTTCATCATCAAACTGTCTGAAACATCTATTTCACAAGTATAGATACGCCTTTTTTTCCTCTAAACTGACCACAACAGAACTGCCAAGATGAAATAAATTCAGAGGTCAAAAGTTGTAAACAAAAATCAGTAAAATTCTAGTGTACCAATAGCACATCAAAAATCCAGTTACTTGGGTCCCATTACTTCTTCACGGTAAGTTGACTTCACAGGAGATATTTAGAAAGACATACCTAAAGTTTGAAGCATTATTGTTTCAAGTATAACCAGCTCTTGGGCTTGCTGAAGGTATGCCTGAAACAAATAAGCAAACAGGTCAAGACGGAGCTATCTATTATCTCAAAATCTTAATTGTATACTTCCTATTTGAATACTGATACTAGCAATGCAAGCAAAGACCACTACCCAAGCCAGTCAGAACTGATAATTCAGAACACTTTGCTGTAGTGGAAATACTTTCTTCTACCAGTATAAGTGCTACTGCAAATTCAGTTATGCCAATCTAACCATCTTTCACTGAGATTTACTTAGCCTGGTTCTCATTTAATTTATTCCAGCAAAGCATTTTTGTGAGAAGCTGGAGGAATGCCTTAAGAATTGCAAAGGCTTGCCAGTGCAACTCAACTCACACATCTTTAGGCAGGTTATCCATTTTATAAGTACTTTAAAATACAGCTGGAGATACTCAGTTGGCCTGCGTTAAGCTAGTTTAAGCTTGTGGGATTTCTCTCTCTATATCCCTCCATGCGTCATTCCCAGAACTGGGAGCATAGCAAAGGTGCTCAAGTAGTTTCATACGTCAGCTGAGGTCCAGCAGGGTATAACTAGCTCAGCCTGACCTTCAGGCTGAACAGCTCTGGTGCATTTCCACCATACCTCCTTCAATGTTTGGTTTCAGGAAGACTCATCTTAGGATATATTTACTATCAAGTGGAAACTGTACAAAGTTTGGCAAAAGCAGTGTATAGCAGAGGCAGCAGCTGACAACTGGATCGCATCCTATAAAACAATTAGACAACTGTGCACAGGGAGCCTCTGGTTGAGAAAGACGAACAGTGTCCTGAGCAACTCTGTGCAAACTGTGTAACTTAGGGAACCAGGCACAAAACTGCTTATTTAACATCTAGTCTAGTCTTCTGCTATACATGTAGCACTCTTAAAAATAATGCAAGTTCAAGATGAAACAATCTCTTCAAGTTTCATAACACAATTGAGTCTTTAGTAAGTTATATTAAGCAGTCCAAAAAACTTAAATGGTATAAAAACGAAATTTTTTTTTCTAGTTTGCAATGGCAATAATCCAGTCAAGACAATGTAACAGATCATTAGATGAAGTATCATCTGATTATCTTTAAAACCATGACTTCCACCTACATCACTCTTTGTATCCAGTTGTGGCTCTTGAGGATGAAGACAGGCATGTGCTACTTTAATAACATGTTCAAGTTTCCGTGGCTGTTCTTCCACTTTTGCGGCCAAAAACAATGCCGTAGGAGATATTATCTGAAGAAAAAACACATATATGTATTTAACTTTTTACAAGTAGGACTTGAATTTTCATGGAGTCTAAACTGGTAGTTCAAAAAGAAGTTGGATTTATTTGTGGGGTTTTGGGTTGGATTTTTTTTTTTCAACAGTTCTGAAATCATGCAAAGCAACAAAAATAACTAGTCGTGTTTTATTTTATAACTGATGTAATACTCTCAGCAGCACAGGAAAGGCGTAGCATAAATGTTAAATTACATTTGTGAGATGTCCGAGGTCAAACTAATCCTAGTTTAACATAAAAAGAATAGATTTGATCCAGAAGCTTTAGTCACACTAGAACAGGCTGTTTCAAGTTAAATATACTTTGTGAGAAAGTTCATCCAATTTATTGCACAGTAGTGAGCCATTACACCATCTTTTCAGTAAAAGTCAAAACAGCTGATCCTAAGTTCTGCTAGCATTTGATTCTCCTAAAAAGCAAGAAACTTTGCAGATAACTGTAAGGAAAACAGCTTGTTACATAAACATAGGTTGTATAAATAAAAGCTTACTTGTAGAAACTTTACTGTATACCCACCAGTATCTGGTGAACAAAGCACAAGGACTCACAAAACAGCAGTTACATCAAGTGTTAGTAGAGATGACATATTACATTTAAAGACGAAAATTTTAATTAAACTCTAGGTTTCACAAGCTGGCAGCAAAGCACCCATTGACAGTTCAGTATCAGCCAGGAGCTGTCATGAAGCAGTTCTGATGGCTAGTTGTCAGCTAGAATGACTGATGTATCCTATACAAGAACATGGCTAACTAGAATCAGGGTCCTCTTTGCATGCAAAAGTTGCCCATGTTAAACAGGAATTAAAGTGACAGTAGAAATCTTCATGTATGCACAAGCAGATTAAATTGGTTAAAATTAAACCAATATAAAGCATTTATTCAGATATTGAAATAGCTGCTTGTTGAGTATTTAATTAATGCATGGTGCAAGCAGTGCAAGTACTGGATTTCTCATTCAATGCCCAAGCAGAACTAGACTGAGGACCAGCCACACTCCTCCCCTAAAGTCAGATCTGCTTTTTTTTTTTTTTTTTTTTTATGCCAAAATCATAGAATCACAGAATCACTCAGGTTGGAAAGGACCCACTGGATCATCAAGTCCAACCATCAGCCCAAGTCTGCAAAGTTCTTTCCTACACCATATCCCCCAGCATCTCATCTAAACAACCCTTAAACACACCGAGGGATGGTGACTCCACCTCCTCCCTGGGCAGCCTGTTCCACTGTCTGACCACTCTTTCCATGAAAAATTTTCTCCTAATATCCAGTCTATACCTCCCCTGTTGGAGTTTAAAGCCATTCCCCCTTGTTCTGTCACTAATCACCTGGGAGAAGAGACCAGCACCAACCTCTCTACAATGTCCTTTCAGGGAGCTGTAGAGAGTGATGAGGTGAAATGAAACATTTGGTATAAAAAAATCGTAATATATGAAAAACTGCAACTAACTAATTAGAATCAAACATTTAAGTGATTACCCATTACATTTCAGGAGCACTCAAATGTATGGAGGGAATACTTTTTACCTCCTTAAATTGCTCTGAAATGTCCACTCGGGTCTTAAGTAAAATTTGCAAGTTGGCAGACTTGAAGAAAACTGACAGCTTGGGAAGGGGATACCCTTTGATGCACAGAAATGTGCCATGAAGAAATCCAGTATTTTAAAAAACCTAAACCATCCAAAACAAGTCACAGGGAGAAAATTCTTCCACAGAGACAAAAGAATTACTTTATTTTTAAGAAGCTTGTAACTTAAGCCATACAAATGAATGAAATAAACCCCCTAAGTCAGGTGTTGCTGAAC